GGATAATAAGCAGCAGTGGCAGCGGCCGTAGCACTCGCAATATGGATGGATGGGTGTAGCGGAGGGAACTGTGGACATACGGACATGCGTACGGACATGTGGTGCTCGGTACGCATCTGGTCAATGATTACACGTTACCTAGCCCACCCATCTACCCCAAACCGCCACCCACATTTCCGCTCCCCTTCGCGCTCCATTTCCCCCCACCCCCCACCCGCCCCTGCCGGTCCCCTAACTCTTCCACCCGCTCTCCCCCCCTACACACACAACACACATACACACACACACACNCACACCTTTCCTCAGTGGGCGCCTCCTGGCAAACCCATCCCCGGGGGGCCCCCTCCCGCCGCCTGGGATCAGCTACCGCCACCAACTCCATGTACGGCAGCCACAGTCGGGACGGCTACTCAGCCCTCACTGAGGACGTGGGGCCGGGAGGGGGAGGGGGAGGGGGAGGGGGGGGAGGAGGGGGGGGCCAGGAGGGGGAGCCTGTGGGTATCATCACCATTGAGGACGTCATTGAGGAGCTGCTGCAGGTATGTGTGTATGTGTGCGTATGTATGTGCGTATGTATGTGTGTATGTATGTGTGCGTATGCATGCGTATGTGCGTGTATATGTGTGTGTGGGGGGGAGAAAGAGGTGTGGAGGTGGGCGCACGTTGGGGGAGAGTGCGGTCCGCGGCGAAGGAGTGGAGGAGTGGAGGTTTACGTCCGCCCGTGTATTGTGTGTGAGTGTGTGTGTATGTGTAGTATCTCCCCCTCTCCGGTCCCGTTTCCCCCAACCCCCCACTCCAGTCCACTTCCCCCCCCCCCGCCCCCCAATACACACACGCTGTCCTGCGGTCCCCCGGCAGGAGGAGATCATCGACGAGACGGATCTCTTCATCGATAATCTGCAGAGTCAGAGAGTCAATGCGGCGGCCGTGGCGGGGTCGCTGCCACCCCGCCTGCGGCAGGTGCTGTCCACAGGCCTATTCACCCCTCGAGTGGGCCGGCTAGGGGGCGGGGGCGGGGGTTTGGCCTCGCCTGGATCTTATGTCGTACGCAGCGGCGACTACATTGGCGGCGGCAGCTTTTCCGCCACGACGGCGGCGCTGCTCGACAGCGACGCTACGGCGGCGGCGGCGGCGGGTGGGAATGGTGGTGGTAGCGGCGGCAGCGCTGTCGTATCTGCGTTTGCGGCATCGGCGGCGGCGGCATCGGCGGACGTGGTGGAGCCGGATTTGTCGTTGTACGGCAGTGGGAAAGGAGCGGTGGCAGCGTTGCCGTCGCCTTATCTTGGCAGTGCATTGGAGCTGAGGCGAGTCTCAGCCTCCGCCGGGTTGGCTGCCTCCGGCGGCGGCGGCGGCGGCGGTAGTGGGAGCCGCAGCGGCAGCGGGCTCCTGGCGGCGGCGTCAAGTGGGCGGCTGTTGGCGTTACGTGGCCTCGTTGG